AGTCTTTTATTTGAAGCAGAAACTCAAAACCAGAGGTTTTTGTGAAGGGGCAGCCACTGTGTGCAGGAGGACAGGAGCTTACTAAAAATGACCTTTTCGTGTTGCAAGGGTCGAAGGCCACTTTAATTAGAGATGGAAGAGTCTCCTTGACACCTAAATTAGACAACTGTTCATTGATTCCCGGACTCAACAAATATTCATGGATTCACTAATTCAGTACCCACAGCAGTCAGTGTTCCCCACACGGGGAGTGAGCCCTCTATCCGTGCAGGACACTAAACCAAATCCCTGCCTACCAAAGCTGACCTTTTCATCATCTTAATGATGATGGGCTCGTGCTCTTTCACGCCAACGCATTTGATGGTTTGACGGGATCATTAAACTCCTTAAAAATTATAGTTTACCGAAACAAAAAGGGGATACAAGAAAACTGAATAACCATTAAAGAAGCAGAAACTGTTATGAAAACTCTTCTCAGAAAAAACAAAACAAAAACCCAGGACACTGTTGGCTTCACTAGTGCATTTTTGAAAAACACTTAAGAAAGATAAAAATATCAGAAGAGGCTCAGAGAGTTCCCATTCCTTTTAGAAAATCATTATAAATGTAGTGTTAAAGACACAGGAGGAAAGTAAAACAACGGAATCATATTTATTTGTTTATTTAAATTTTTTCCACTGAGTTTACTTGTACTTTTTAAGCGTGCAGTAGTCACATTCATCATTAGGATCTTGTACCTTTACATGACGGGTCTCAGTTCTTATTTTTTCCCCCAGTCCCCTGCCCTCCCTTCACCCCCTCCATCCTCCCCTCTTTACAAAGACTTTGTTTCCATTTTTTCCTTTTCACATAGTTTTTCTTTTCCCTTATTTCCTTTCCCCTACCCTTCCCGCTTCCCCGACACCTTTAGGAACCATATTTAAATAATCGTAACGACTGTCATTCTAAGCACACAGAATGAGACACTGTAGGTGTTGAGTCACGTGACTCGAGGAGAGAGAAAGCTGGACCCCGGGCCCGGATGGGCCTAGAGAGGAGCCTGAGCCCCTCCTCCCATCGCCCTCAGCTCCTCCTCCGCGGGAGGGGTGGCAGAGTCGGTGTCCGTGTCGCTGGTGGGGGCCGAGTCCTCGGTCAGGGCCCTCTCCAGACTGGCGGGCAGGGAGCGGATCAGTCTCTCTCGGAAGTCCCTGCCCATGAACACGTAGAGCATCGGGTTGAGACAGCTGTTGAGGAAGGCCAGGGAGATGGTTGCTCTCACTGCAATCCTAAGGTGTCCAGTCACCCCGCTCAAGTAGTCTCGGATTCTGATGGTGGCTATGAGAGCCACCACCTGAAAAGGACACCAGCAGAGAAAGAAGGTGATGACAATAAGCGAGAGGACCCGTAAGGGCCGGCTGGATCGGATCAGGCCTTGCTTGTACATTTTCTTGGCGATCAGACCGTAGCAGACAGCTACAGTGGACATGGGCGTGCTGAAGCCAACGATGAACCGGATGACCCCTCGCACGGTCTGCATGGCGATGTTCACCTTCATCTTCTCCTCGGGGTCTGTGGTCCAGGGCGCAAAGTCCAAGGCGCAGGCTGTTTTCCCGGGGGAGCGAGTCACCGTGGTCATCCGAGTGATGACCGGCAGGGTCAGGAGCAGCGCGCACACCCACAGCGCCGTCATCACCCTCCTGGCCAGGCTCACGGTGCGGTGGTTCTGGGCCCACACTGGATGCAGGACACAAATGCAGCGGTCCAGAGCGATGAGAGCGATCAGGAAGACGCTGCCGAACAGGTTTAGGTCCACTATGGTATAAATGAACTTGCACATGAACCACCCCAAAGGCCAGTACCCTCCCCAGGCCCTCTGGACAATGAGGAAAGGTAACGTGGTAGAGAAGGAGAAGTCGGCGAAGGCCAGGTTCAGGTAACAGATGGTGGTGACTGTGCGTTGCATCCGGAACCCGGCCACCCAGATCACCAGCCCATTGCCCAGCACTCCCAGGACACAGGTGACGGTCAGTATCGTGTAGGAGAAGACATCCAGGGCCACGTAGCTGGCAGATGCGCTCGGTGGCCCCGCAGACTTGTTCATGGGCAGAGAGCCGTTCGTCGCCATCTTATCCTCACCTGAAATTGTTTGGCAATGGGCATTTTTAGTAACAGACCTGCGTGCAGTTTTCGCTGTCTTGCTGTAGCAGCAGCCACCTCCCCAGCCTCACTGTCACCGTCCCCTCGAGCTCCTCTGCGAGCTCGAACCGGCTCCCCGCGGTCCCCTAGGCCTGACGTTGTATTGCACGTTCCTGCAACCGTCACCGGGCACCTGCTGGGCGGATTAGGTGCCTGAGGAAGATCCTTGCCCTGGGAGGGAAAAATACTGAGCGGCAGATGTGGAGCGAAAACAGGCGCCCAGGCAAGTATCATACATGGGCACTGGTCGTAGCGACCCTCACAACAGGAAGATTATGGAGACAGCCTCGCTGTCATCCACGGGTAAGAAAACGTGACTGGATGTTCTGAGGCCGTAAAAGTGAGCAAAGCACAGATACATGCTGTAGATGAATTTTGGAGATATCGTATAAAGAGTCAGACACAAAACGCTACATGTCGCTACGATTTCAACATGTTCGGACTAGTGACTTCCAAGGGCTGGGGATTTTTTTGCTCACCGGGTACGGAGTTTCTAGACAGTGGTTATAGTGGCAAAACATTTTAAATGCACCTAATGCCACTGTGTTGTACACTTAAGAAGTAAATCTCGTTATGCGTATTTTACCACAAACTTTAAAGGAAAAACGGTCTGTAAGCCCCAGGAACTTAGTGGTGCAGAGCTTCAGGGACCAGAGGCAGTCGTGAGCTAAAACCTCCACCCACAACTCTGTACAGAAACTGCAACATCCAGACTTCTCCATCCCAGATGCTGCTTCCTTCTCCTAGGGTCATGAAAAGACCCTTCCCTCTGTCCTGTGGAAGCAAACACATATTTGATCCATTTTCAAAGACAGGAGGGATGGGACCATCAGGGATAATAGCACGTATTACATGTGGCTGGGTCTGTGGCGGGAGGAGTCGGAACGGGCCGTGCGTCACCCCCGCTCTCTTGTGATCATCTTGGAGGATGGCTGGGGACCTTTTCTCTGCCCGGCGCCTGGCTCAGTGCACGAGCGGCTCTGAGATTCTGTTTTTTTCCTTCCTTTCTTTCTTTCCCCGGGAAGTTTATTGGTACATTTAAAGCAAACAGTACAGTTACATTCATCATGGGCTCTCGTGCCTTTACATGACCCACCTTGGTTCTTGTTTCTCCCCACTCCCCTGCCCTCTCTTCACCCCTTCACCCTCCCCCATTTACAAAGCCCTTGTTTCCATTTTTTCACATTTTTTGTCTTTTCCCTTATTTCCTTTCCCCTCCTCTTCCCACTTCCCCTGTAGCCATTTTCTTCCTAATTCACACTCTCTCCTCTCAGCTTTGCAGCAGGCTTCTTCAAATAATTTTTGTGAGGCTGTAGTGAGTTAACCCCATCATGCACGAGCCATGGGTTGACAGAATATATGGTGAATAACTAACTTCAGGGGCTCTCATG